ACTCCAAGACTGTTTTGAAAATGATAGTGAATCACAAGCATCCTTTCTTTGTCAATCCTAGAGTGGGGACTTTAGAAGTTGCATGAATTTTCAAACACAAGGGCCAGATTGCTTCCAGATTCTCCAGAGTCCTTCAGAACTGGCACTTCCACAGGAGCAGAAAAAATACTTGGACACAAAGCCCTCATGCTACAGAAGCCATTGTAGCACCGAGCTTTGTACACTTGTTGTGACAACCTGTTTGCTTTCTCACAGCCATCAATAGAGGGATGAGGCTCCTCACGTGGCTCCTTCAGGAGCACACTGATTAGCAGCACAAAATCCTAACTGTAGAATCCTCTTGCCTAAAACCAGAGGAAAATTCTACACACTGGGAGGACAGCTGCTTCTCTTGTGGCCTCTGTGCTGATGTACAGAGATGTACAGATGGAAAAGTGAGGACAGGCTAACAGGGCATAACACATGTACACACGTATGCAGGTATGTGTACAGTATATATACATATAATAGATGTACATAACACACATGTATACATATAATTGAGTATAACTTATGTACACACATCTGCAGGTTCACAGATGCACAGTAAGGCAGTTCTGTTTCTCTCAACACAGTTCAATCATCACACGCTGCTCGCAAGAACCACGGCACAGAGAACGCAAGCCCTTGCCAAAGCTGATCTCTCTATGCAAGCACAGAAATTCCACAGAATTTAGGCATGGATGTTTATAGCAAAATTTGTCAAAAGCTAATCAAATATCTACAGTGATGCACACTTCAAACTGTACTAAACAGAATCACTCCGGGGGAAACCATGACTTCTAGACTTCTAGGTCAGTAATTTGGCCACCACAAAACAGCCAGCAAGAGCAGAAAATTTGCTGCAGTAAACATACAAATTGCAAAGCACATTCTTCATGAAGTTTGATGAAGCCCTGTGTCAGTTAATTGGCTGGTGGCTTCTAGTGAAAGATTTCTAGTGCATTTATTTCCCAGCTAGTTCACAACAGCAGAAAGATGTCCTACCAGTGCTCATTTGAAAGACTTAGACACGTTCATGCTGTTGGACATGCTTCCTAGTACATATAGGGATGAATTTCCTTTGTGTCTTTAAATTGCACTTATTCTTTGGACAAAAGGGAGGAATATGCTCAAAGCTGTGCCTGTGGGTCCCCTCACCTTGCAGGGTAACTAAGTATGAATGGCATGTCAGTGAGGTTGACCTTCCTACGTTGGATTCCATTTTTTTACACCTTCTCTTTTTTTCTTCTTTTCTACCTTTTCCCACTGCTTTTCCCTCTGCTTGTCCTAACTGTGAGAGGGGCAGAAAATTTTCAGAACTTTTTCTCATGCATTTCATAGGTTGCTCTTTTCTTATCCCATTCCTAATGTTTACCATATATTCTGTATTTACAGGATTTTATTAAGGTCTTGGCAAATTTGACATTTACGAGCTCAAGGACCTGCTTCTAACCTCTACCTTTGCCTGCCTTGTCTTTTAGAAGAAACTAATGTCAGGCTTTCCTCCCTTCACTGTGAGTGTCTTTCAAAATTTAAAATGTGCTGGTTTTGCAAAGACAGAATGTACTGCAAAAGGGATCCTAATTCCCAACTTGTAGATAAGTGCAGCAAAGCAAAACCACACCAAAGGTTCTCGAGGTGTAGAATAAAGCCTCTCTCACTTTTAGAACTCTAGATTGCTGCAGTGAACATTTCAAAAGGCATGTGACTATAAACCTGCTTATTAATTTTAGACTAAATGCAATACAATCTATCATGTAGCCATAATGAACAGGACTAATTTTGTACTTACATTTTTATTTTAAATTAACAAATCTGTAAAGCTTTAGAGATATTGTTTGTGATCTCCAGGTTTCCTTGCTGAATTCAGGTGTATTCTTAAAAATAAATGGACGGGTTCTTTTGTGGGTTTGGTTGTGGAGCTTACATCTGATCACAGAGACACAAGATTTGATCTCTCTGGACAGATTTAGGACAGTTTTGTGAAGAAAAACAGTACCTACTTCCATCTCAATACGTTTCCAATATCGCACCTCAGACCAGAGGTGGCTTAAGGTCTGTGGGGACCAAAGTCTGGGCCCTGGTTTTGCAGTGTTCCTGTGGTGCGATTTGCGCATAAGATCACAAGGTTTGGACCTTATTGTCTCTAAATCCAATCCTCTCTGATCCAGTTTCTGCTACTTCCTATTTTCTCTTTCCTTCAGCTTTTTCTCTCTTCTTCATTTCTTGAGCATCTGAACTTCTTAATCTTTTTCTCCTTCTTTTTCCATCAGGCACTCCACTGATGGAAACATATGACAACTTTTATTCTTCCACAAAAGATGGAGGAACAGTCTGAGCAAGTTACGGTCTGTTTCACATGGGGAAAGGAATGAAGCCACCCCAGGCAGTGCTCCAAGAAAGACTGGAGCCAACAAATATGTGAGAACTTTTCAAAGCACAAAGGCAGAACGAGGGAAGGCACCCATTGGACCTGTTGTTTGTGAACAGAGAAGGACTGGTGGGTGCTGTGATGGTTGGAGGCCATCGGGCTCAGCCATCATGAAATCATCATTTGGGATTCTCAGAGAAGGAAGGATTGGGAGCAGCAGAACTCTGGGCTTTGAGGTTTGAGAGTTCTGGGGATTTTTCATTCCAGCTGGAAGTCCTGACTGGGTACACTTGTCTGTGGGGAGGATGATTCTACAGTCTGTTGTAAGAGTAGAAAGTGGCACACTCCCTGCAAGTAAATTTTTTCTTTTTTAATTTATTTTGATTGAGTTTCAAGAACAGGC